GAAGGAAATAATATGCTTTTATAGCGAAACATAGTCTTACAATATTAAATTATTAAAATCGTCTGATATAGAAAAGACTTAATAAAATATTGTACTTAAGAATTGGTTATTAAAATATTATAACTATCAACATGCCACAAGAAAAATATAGGATCTTTACCATCTATATTCCAGAACCTTTCAAAACTAACTGCAAAATGATTAAATCAGATCCGTAGTCTATACACATCATTTGAAAAAAATAGAGAATCGAAATGAAAGCGCACTCCCTAATAGTTATGTTTTATCCCCCAAACTTTTTTGGATTGTTCTAAAGGCTTTTTTCGAGTGTGTTCATTGTTATGGTTATGATATTGTCGCCGCCTTTGCCGCTTCTGTTCCTGTTCCTGTCGCTGCCCCTCAGCACTCGCATATGGATCCATCCATCCAAAACAGCAGCCGCCCGACCCGAGCGTTTATCCTCGTCCAGCGGCCCCGTGCAGAAGGTCCGGGGTCTCATCTGTGCTGTGCCCAGTAGCATGCCAGATAAATCAATGTGTCAACACCTCTTTTTGTGCTGTCAGTTTTTTATGGTTTTCGATGATATTTCGCCTATTGTCAGGCCGGCGACGCACGCGGTCTGCTCTTGACCAGTTTGCCTGCCGCTGGCCAGCCGTTTGCCCATTTGGTTAAATCGCCCGGACATTGCGCCTTGGAGTTTGAGTTTGAGTTGGAGCTGGAGTTCGGCTTGGCCTGGCTCGGATCGGAGTCAGTAGCTGCTGACATGGCCATCGCTCAGCGCTTTTTGTCTGGCCTTTAGCGCAAGAATTATGGGTGCCCCCTCCTTGGCCCTTTTTGCCGGCCAATGATGGAAACATTTCCAGCGATTTCAGGCATCCGCGGGCACTGCAACTGGATCAATTTCAGTGGCGAAACGTTTAACGTGGCCACTGTCGTCTTCCGTCAACCTGTCCGACCCCCTTTGGCCCCCTTTTACCGCCTTTTACGCGCCCCTGCCGACCGTCCTTTTTTCCCTGCGTTCGGAGCTTGCGAAATTTGAATTGTCTGCTTTTTAGCGAAGATTTATGGCAGTCTCGTTAAATTTTAATATAAAATAAAAGTTTTTAGAAAATCATGCGAACGTCGGAGAGTCGGAGAGTCCGGTTGGTTGGGCCAGCTGAAATTGCCTGCTCGTAGAGTTCGATTGACATGCAAAGCGAATTAGCTGGCCATAAATCGAAGCCAGCCCAAGTGGAGTTAAAATATCTGCAATTATTACAAATTTACAAGTGGTCAGCTCTGTCCAGTCGTTAAAATAAAACGCGGCGCAGGAAAAGTCCAGGTTGTGAGAACTTGGTAGCCGAGGTTTCCCCCATAAACCATAAACAGGCCTAAAGACTGAGAATCCATTCAGCAATACAGTAATTGCCGTCATCGGCTGGAAAAATAGTAAAAGTGAGCAGGACAAGTTATTCAAGTGAAAAAGGAATCTAAATCTATTGAGAAATTTAATGTTCAATATAAGCAAGAAAAATACTTTAAACTGTATCAAAAGTTTAGTTGTTTTAGTTCAGAAATTACATGAAAAGTTAAGCATTATTTAAACCCCCATTACAAGATCATCCCGAGGCGTTGCCTTTCATCAGTGATCGATTATCCCAAACTCCAAGCCACATCGATTACACATCCTCACCCTTTTTTTTTACCACCGGAGACCTCATACCAATTGGCTGACAAATAAAAAATAATTAGGCATTTAGCACGAAAGCCGGAAAAAAGTCGACCGCTAACAAAGAGCCGCAGATTGCCGGCCATCGACCAGAGGAATCTCGAAAAAGTTCAAATAACTTGAGAATTGTAACAAATCATTGCTCCATAGCTGCTGCTGTTGTCATTGCCGTTGTCATTCGCCATAAATGCGAGCGTTTATGAAACATAATTTGATCGGAGCAAATGCCTCGGTGTCGTCATTGACGTTGACACCGCGCCGACAAGATGTCCAGATAACAGAGCGGGTTCCTCGGATGGGGATGGGTATGGGGATGGGATGGGGGTTCAAGTGCGTGCGATGGCTTTGAAAGACCGCCCCGAAAAAGTGCGGAATCAAAACTCCAGGCCGGCTTTCTTCTGGCCGCCCCAAAAAATCGTGCTGCTCTTGGAGTCTTCGAGCTCGTTTAGCGCTCATTTGCGGTGAATATGGTGTACAGTAAAGATTCTTTATTTCTTAAGATTTTTATTTTTTTAAGACAATTTTGAAATAAAGGACAAAACTGAACAAGCCTAAGAACTCTGCCCCAGAAGATTATGAAAAATATTGGACGAGGAATGGTAGATAAAAATCTAATAGATATGGACTCCGACTTACATATATTTTAAACCAATGGTGATATATCTTCTGTTGGGTGGTGGTTAAAATAATTTTTAATTAACCTAAAAGTTTGACAGCCTTTGGATTTTTTCCATTACTAAATGGTAAAGAGTGTATGTCCAATAGCTATCAAAATTATGTAAAATATACATAAACTTTCCGAGTGGTGCAACAGTGTTTTAAGAATAATAAAATGAAGAAAATAATGAATTCTTTAATTTCAAATGAATATACAATCCCAAAATATTATTAGCTTACCACTTCGTTCAATTACCTAGTCAATATTAAGCATTATTGATTTAAAGAAAATACATTTTGGCAAACTATTTAAGAACTTAAAATCTCTGTATAACTCCCTAACATTTTAACAAAATTACCACAAAATACAAACAACTAATTTTAAAGTTAAACATATTTAAAAAAAATAGTGTAAAATCATAGATTGCTCTTTAATATTGCTCAAGCTTTTGTTTGATTTAAAAGTGGCTCAGAGATATTAATTTAAGAGAAAAATTTATTAGAATGAAATGAAGAAATATTAAAATGGAAACCCCTTGCGGAGAACTTGGCTTGTTTGGGCCTATGTTGTAGAAGCTGGACTGTAGTGGTCTTAGCTGATTCTCGCCATGATGCTGGTGTTGCTGCCGTGACAACAACAGTTGCTGCTAAGACTGTTGCTGCTGCTGCTGTCGTGTCGGCTCGTGTTGACGACGTCGACGACACATAAATTGCGATTAAAATGATTAATGCTCAACGCACGGCGCAATGTTAATTGCCACCGCTCCAAACTCCGCTCAAAGTACCGATCTCTGGCTATATCTATATGGTCACTCTCCCCGAGTTCCTGTTGTTGTTGTTGTTGTTGTTGCCACTGCCACAGCGGCTGCTGCTATTTGCATAAATTTGTTTTGACGCTTGTAATGAGCTGTTTGTGGCATTTTCACTGCCACTATCGAAAAACTTTTATCGGCCTCAGCCCGAGAGCCCGACAATAATTTCCATGTTCGTTTTTTAATGTTTTCTCGCTTCTTTTATTTCAATTTTTCCATCCCATCCCCAGCATATTTGAAATTATTATAAAGCATCTTTAGGCCGCGGATCCGCTAATCGCCGGTCGGCCATCGCTTTCGAACGGAAGTTGCCGCTTTTGGGCAAAACAATTTTGGGATCGGATCCACAGCGGCCACGGATGAATGAAATTCATAAGCGCCAAGTGCTACTTATAAGAAATTTGCTGGTCTTTAGCGATCGCACGATCAGATAGACAAGCCATGTTTTGTAGAAGTTGTTTGCGAATGAGGTTGCGAAAAGTTGAAAGTATGAGTGTACCAGGAAAAAAAGAAACTATTTAATGTATTTGAATTACTAATAAGAAATTAATTCGAATATATTTGAAATATGAATATTTTGGGGATAAGAAGGTATATTGAAAAAGGTATCATTTTTGGGCAAAGATGTCAGGAAAAACAGATATATTTATGTTCAATTTGTTGTTCTTGAACTAGAAATAATTTATAAATCAAAAACATTTCTCCTGAAATCGCTTAGTTAGGCATTTGTTAGAGACACGATCCCCTGTTTATTTGGGAGTTTGGGGCTTTTGAATGTTATGATAGGCCTATACATAACCAATGAATTCACAATTTGTCAACTCGACATCAAACATTTAGCCATTCAGTTGGAACACGATAGAGGCCTGTTCCCAATGCGATCGCTTCATTGATATGTAAATCGCATGTGCCCATATTGTTTATGGCCCCAGATGCCATGGCAAAAGTTGTTCAATATCTCTCTGTATGTGCCCGCCCCTACAAACATCTATCTATTTGGAATCTATCTGGGATTTGGGTGTGTTCCGGTCGAGGGTCGAGTCGAAATCCATTCTCATTGCGTACTCAATTGATTGCCGAGGGAGCCCAAACAATTGCAACAATGTAAATCAATCAACTTGCTGGCTATTGGTAATTTTTATATTTAATTTAGTATTTCCGTTATTAAAATCAAAATAAAACCATTTAAAACTCACCTGCACAATAATTTACTGGCTGCACCCCAAATTGCTGATGCTATTGTTGTTGCTGTCGCTGTTTACACAAGCAGCACATACGAAATTTATAATCACAATAACAGCAAAATGAACAATAATATTTGTTAACGCTCGAATAGAGACGCGCCCAATAATTTTATTGAATCCCCAATGCACACACAGATATCCACAAGTTTCATTTGAAAAACAAAACACAGTCGAGAACACAAGTGGAAGCTCACGGATACAAAGATACTTCCACTTGCGGCACCCAGTAGCGGCAGGCCAAGAGTTTTGGATTCCATTCGATTCATTTCGATTCGCGTGAATTTCGATTTTCATAAAATTAATGAATATTTAAATTGTGTTCCATGCAAAACGCCGCCGGAAACGCGCTTTGCTGGAGCCACCTGTAGTATCTGTATCTGTAAACGTACCTCTGTATCTGTATCTGCGTTTGTTTATCATCGGACTGGCTTGGCCGGATGCCCACCCACACAAACATATCTGCAGATATATCGATTGGGAGACAACTGCGAGTCGCATTCTGATTTGGCGTACAAAAAGCTCTTTTTGTACTGGCTCCATTCAAAATTCTTCGGCATCTCCATCTCTGTCTTGGCTTTTGGGAGGGTTGGACGTAGATTTGTACAAATCGGTTGGCCGCCGCCACTTCGATCAGCACATGAATGAGCTTCGATCACAATAAACAAACATCTTCACAGTTAATAATTTGAAATTGTACAGATACGCACTCGGTAATAGGTCTCCTGTCTGATTTCCCCTCGTCCACCCATGCCTCCACTTGTCTGGTCTATAAACAGAATTTTTCATTCATTGCTATACGACCGGACGGACATATAGCCGCCCACGCCCGTTTAAGATCTGAGATCCGGAGGCCCGATCGCCGATTCACGTCCCCAGATTTGTGACGCCAGTATCCAGTAGTCCTACTTTGACTCTTAAACTTTTATTTAAAGGCTTAGTAACAAATTTATTATAGGGACTAACATAAATGTATTTAAATGATATATAATAAATCTATTTATTTATTAAAGTCAATCAAAAGTATTTCCCAATGGCAACCTGTTTGCGTCAAAAATAAAATCATTTTGAGAGTTTCCAAGAAGCTTTGTATAAAATTAATATAAGATCCCAGTTTTAATATTGCTTATTAATCTTATAATACTAATAAATATTTTTGATTCTTATTAAGGAATTTAAACTTTTAAGAATGTTACAGGACTCTAGTCAATGAGAATTTTCCTCTGATTTTTGATATATCCATTCAATATGGTATCTTTTTTATTAAATGGTATTATACACTTTCATAATATTTTTAGATTTAAAGGTACAGGTCCCAACAACAACAATTTGGAACCACTGTGCTTGGTGAGAAGTAAAACATCGCGAATGGGCGGTGCTGTCGATTCTTTTGAGGGTGGGACTTTGGACACGGGCTTGCCGTAGTATAGATCAATTATTTGTCAGTCGACTGGTCGATTTGCTTGTTTATTTATGGCCGATTTCTTTATGAATGAATGAATAATTGCCGTCGTGGCAGTTGCTTTTCACCCATTTGATGGATTAATGCCCCGGGCTCTCCACCCATAGCTTTTCCTGGTACTAAATGTTGGGCCCCCATTTGGGGATGAGTTATGCAAACTTAGGATTCCCCGGCCAGATGGGCTTGCAACACGATCGCGCGATCGGAACCATTCACCTGGGGTCATTACGGAAAATTTGTTATATTCTGTTTACGCCCGGACCCACACTCCAAGATCCCAGATGCCTTGTTGACTATAATGAATGGGGCTGGATCTTTTGTTTTGCCCTGTCCGTTGATCATTTGTTTGTTCAAACAGTTTTTAGCGATGACAGCGTAGTTATTTGCCCCTTTGAAGTTGCTGAATGGAATTTTGCTCATATCGGAGCAATATTAATTGCCATTATCCGATGATGAAAATGCTCTGGGCAGTGTGCTATCGCACTGTTTCTTTGAAGCGATTGTTTAGTTAAATAGGCAAGCTGTTTTTGTTTACTTACTGTATTTTTCACTTCAACCTCTAAAGTCAATCGTTCTACGTTTAGGGATTATTAAAAACTGTTCAAAGTATGGCTTTCCATCGTGATTCACCCGGTTTCCCATCATCTCACGCCAGTCCACCTGACGAAAGAGTCGGTGACATTGAAATGAAAATTGCTGCGTAAACTTGTACAAGTTGGCAACATCTTGCCGGCGGCTCCGATCGCTGGATGTAGTGACAATAATTGCCGCTAAGCTGAACGATGCAGTTGGCATGATTAAAGACGGCCCCAAGGTGGCCCAATGCTCGATGACCCAGTCGACTGGAGCTGGCGACTTTTTCTGTTTTTGCGGCAATAGAACCTGGATCCCTGGATGGGCCCAAATTGTGGCTATTGTTCGTTGTTGTCCGTGTCGCCAATGTCGCCGGAGTTGCCTCTGCCATCGCCTTCGCCTTCGATTGTCTTGTAGACGACGTTGTTCGAATGAAATTCACGGCTTGTATTTTGTTACGATTCGTTTGCCACTGGCGACTTTTTGCTGCTGCACTCGGCAACTGTGGCTGCTTCAGTTGCTGTGCACATAGAGAAAAGGCAACTCATTTAAATCTGTTAGGTAATCATTTGAATTCCAACTTATTTCCAGAAAAACTGTTTTTTAAACTAAATTATTTAAATAAATCGTAAGAAATCCTACAAGTGCTTGATTTTATTTAATCTCATAAATTGCTGCTGGGACTTAACGCAATAACATTTTTAAGCCAATTGATAGAATAGGATTTACGCTTAATGATTAAAATTTTGAAGATCTTTTGGTTATACAATTCTAAGATTTTTTTAAGTTCCAGTAACAGTAACTTCTAATATATAAAATAGTTTTAGTTCGTGTACCCATACCTCTTCAATTTTTTCCGTGTGGCTATTGTTCTTTGGATTCTCTGGGAAATCCAGCCGCAATAGTCGCCTGCTAATGACAATCTCATAGACGTTTCCGCAGTTTGTCCAAGCTGTTTGTACTCTGTCCAAACGAACATGATTTGAAACACAATTTTTTTGGTTTATTCCAGACGATGGCGCTGTAATAGGAGCCTTCCGACTGGCGACTTTCGGTGGCGCTTGGGGCAACACGCACCACCGACAATGACAATCGATTAGGGAACGGCTGGTCATGTCCTGGAGAACACCACGCGGCTCCTGCGATTCCGACTGCAGCCGGAACATGCCCGGGATGCTAGGAATTTCTGCGAGTTGTGTAGCGCTGACAACAGCAGTTGCAACTGCAACTGCAGCCCAGCAATGGCAACCTGTTGACCCGCAGCAACACTAGCCGCAGAACTATACTTGGCCGACTTCAAAGTGTCCCGAATGCTGCTGAATCCCGAGTCCAGAGTCCCAAATCCCGATGCCCGGCCCTTGCCCACGGGGATCAAATCGATTGCCCCACAGTAGCCAAAGATGTTGCTGCTGTGCTGCTGTTGTCGTTGTCGCATGCTCAACTTTGATTTGTGCCCATTTAAAAATGTCTTTTTCTCAAATTTTCCCTGCCGGCCAGCTTCCGAGCTGGCCAATATCGGTGTCTGGGCCCAACTGCCCATTGCCACTTCATCATAGGCCAGGTTTGGATGTTGCTGCTGCTCGGACGACAGCAAGTCGGCACAAATATTCCAGTGGCAACTTGTGCTGCTGCTGCTGCTTCTGATGTTGCATTTGCTCATTGCAGGGACAGGACAACTTCCAGACAATGTTATTTGTTGTTGTCGGTGTTGCTGATGCTGCAGCTTATGTTGCTGCTGTGTGTGGCACGTTGTTGTTGCTGCCGCGGCCTTGGTTATCGCCTCTGTAAGTGGCGATCCGCAACAAGTGTCGAGTACGCACGGTACCAAAAAATTACTTAAATCAAGAAAATTGTGAGGTAGAAATATAAGGGAAGCGATTGGTTGACATAGGAAGGAGTAATAATGAATGTTTTTAAGTATGAATATATATTTTTAGATGTTACTTTCTGTTCCTTAAGTAAATATATGTGTGTTTTGCTGCAAAACCTGTTTTAAAGCACTCATTACCTGTTTTTAAATTATATTTAAACACAACTTTTGGTAAAAGAACCACTGCCTTATTAGTCAATAATATAAAACTTATTTAAATTTATCTGGAAATTAATTTTTTAACATTGCTAAACAGAAAATATACCTATATTTTGCAAAGGTCGCTTTAGCAGCACTAAAACCCAATTTATAAACAAAACTTTTCCGTACTCGAAACTTTAAACCTTAACCTTTCTTAACAATTTCCATTTATTTTAATTATCTTACCCAATTACTGTAAGTATATAACAATTTCTGTTTTCTTTAGAAGGAAAATACATATAGTTAAACGTTTAATCGCAGATTTTGTCGTTGGAATAGTTCCTATATTTACGAGTATGTGCCTGTATTTCCACCATTTCTGGTCTCCCCACATACCAAAGTGCGATTAGATGACACAGCCGAAGGAGACATCAAGCCATGTGAGAACCGCATGTACTTTAATCTCGGCCTCGAGTGGAACGCTCATTACCTTTGGATGCCAACCAACTGGGTTGTTCATCTGTCTCCCTCTGGCAGCATGCCCTCCTCAAGGAATCTCCTCCTCTGGGCCAACTCCATCTCACGTCCGTCTTGGCCAGTTTATGGCAGCCATACTCCGTCCGATGGCCGCTGCTGCCCGATGGCCGATGTAGAATTTCAACCATATTTAAATTATGGAAAACATAAGCGAACATTTCTGAAGCGACGAACATGAACAAAATCAAAAATTCCAACAAGTTACAAAAATAACTCGCAGCAGAGCCCACTTAAAGCCCGCTAAAGGCGAGCTGCAACTACAGCTACAGAATGCCCCGACACAGCAACAACAAATGTAGGATGGAACGGGGGGTCAGGAGAAGGGGGGGGGGGGGGGACGGCCTGGGCGGTGGTTCGGTGGGCGGAGGGAGGGAGTGGCAGGCGGACAGGGACGCAGAAGAATTCGCATTCGCGCTCATTGCAACAAAGACAGAACAGGAGACTCCAGCGGAGGCAGTACAACTCTCCTGAATCCTTCGGCCAGGAGCGTAGACACACGGGCCCAATCAGGGGCTAAAAAATATATACCCTTGATGGATTTTTGTATAATAGGTTTTAAGGAACTGAGCAATTTCTTGACATTTGACATATGCAAATGAAAAAAAAATTTAAAACGATTATAATATCAAATTAGAAAAAAAATTAAATAAATAAATAATCTTATCTTCGCACTATTGCAGTGGCTATTATATTTCATCGCTTTTACTTTTAGAGTTTTAAGTTTACGGTGAGGTCCTAAGACCCGTTTTCTCCACTTCATGATCATGTATTACATGGAAATTTACAGTTCATAACACATTTTTTGTTAAATATATTTATAAATATAGGTAAGTTTTTTATCATTAATTTAAGTTATAGATCTGATTCCGTTTTGGTATTGCTTGTTCAAAAATAGTTGTAATTTCTTGCCAATTAGGTTGTTTGTATAATTACGATTAGGATTATTTGTAGGTTTATTAACTAAGTCTTCGACATTATTTGGATCCTATTTAGTCAATTTATGTTGTTTTACTTTAAATCTAGCCTCCCGTTTATTTATTGTTCTAGTTGGTGGCAATCATATTGACAGTCTATTAAATCGAGAATATTTAAATGTCCCCTTTTTTACCCCCAATCCGCTCCTGGTGGCGATTTCAGACCGACCGAGCTTACACTCGCGGCAACAAATGAAGCTAACAACTCGCACGGCGTCTGGCAGTCGTCGATGTCGCTGGTCGTCGTATTCCTCTTCTGGGCTGTCTCGTTCTGGGGCTCCTCGGCGGCAATGCGATTGGCTTTGGCCTTAGCTCCGGGCCTTGGCAGTGGCTTTTGGCCATAGCTCTCCGGCAACAACAATTGCGAATAGCAACCGCCGCGGAGACAACAGCTAAACA